AAATAAGAGAATTTGTCCAAAAGGCTTATGATGTTGTAAGTACTCAATAAATGCCTGCTGCTTCTAGGAAGCATCCTTGTGCTTTTTCACCCTCTACCCTGCTCCCTTCTCCTCATGTAGACTATCAGCAAGTCCTAAAGACTCCACCTTATTTTTTACTATTTCAACATTTATTTTATTGTTACATGTATGATTGCTTTGCTTGCATACATATATTTTGTGCCTGGTATACATGACGGCCAGAAGAGGGCATCAGGTCTCGTGGTACTGGACTTCTAGATGGTTGTGAACCCTAGTCTTCTACAAGAAGCAGAAGTGCTCTTAACTACTTACTAAGCATTGTTCCAGCCCCAATTTTGTGTTTAAGCAAAGTCTTACATAGCCCAGGCTGGCCTCAAATTTCATCTATAGTCAAGGATGACCTTGGTATTCTGATCCTCCTGACTCTACCTCTTGGTGCTAAGCTTACAGACTTGCACTACCACACCCAACCTATGCAGTACTGGGATTAAAGGTGTGTGCCACTAACACCTGGCAAAGCTTTTTTAAAACCATCAATTAGAAACTAGGAACGGTGGCATGTCTGTAATCCCAGCACTCTGGGAGAGTGAGGCAGGCAGATCTTTGTGAGTCTACAAAGTGAGTCCAGGACAGCCAAGGCTACACAGAGAAACCCTGCCTCAAAAATAAATAAATAAATAAATAAATAAATAAATAAATAAACAAACAGACAAATAAATAAATGAAAAATCAATTAGAGGACTAGGGATGTAATTCAATAATTGCCTAGCGTACATGAAGCCCTGGACTTGATCCCCAGCACTACATTTACCGGACATTATGGCACATGCCTATAATCTCAGCACTTGGGAGGTGGAAGCAGGAGAATCAGTTCAAAGTTATCCTTGACTAAATGATGAGTTCAAGACCAGCCTGGCCTACGTGAGACCCTGTGTAGAAAACAACAAAACAATTGTATAATTGGTTTTTGTCCAGAACTTTCTGATAGTTTACTGTTACATTCAATAGAAAACCTAGACTGCTTGCCATGGCCAGTGACCCTGCAAGAGTCTGTCTCTGCTCCTTTCTTATTCCACCTACCTACTTGCCCATCAGTCTCCAGCAACACCGTATCCTCTGGCTCTGAGCATGCCCTGCTCATCCTTGCTGGGACTGTTGCATGGCGTTCCCTCTGCCCCAGCTTGCCCTGACTCAGTCTCTTGAAAATGTTTCTATTAGCATATATTAATCATGCATATTAGTGGTTTCCTTATGGTATTGTAATGCACTTTTATCGTACTCATCCCATTACTTTTGTCCCTTCTCACTCTTTATGATCCTCTTCTTCCCAGCCAGTCCCCCTTCTACCTTAATTCTCTTTTTTAATGATCCAGTGAGTTTCTTTAGAGTTGCTTATCGAAGCAGGGTGAAGGGTTATTTACAGGAGCGCAGACACCTTATCAGCGGCTACACCACTGAAGAAAGTCTACATACACACACTCGAGTGCGCGCGTGCGGGCCACCACTAACCATAACCATAACTGCCCACAGGTCCTGAGGGAAGGGCCAGGCCTCCTGCGTGCCTCCATCTACATAACAGGATATTGATGGTTCCCACGCACCATGGCCATCTCACGCCTGGAAGACAGCGTTCTGATTCTTTCCAGTCCCTGAGCCTTAGAGGGGGGACACATGTGCCTCACTTATGGCTGAGCATTCGGCAGTCTGTTCTCATTGCTTCGACCAGTTATGTCTCTATAGTTATGTCTGCCCACGACACAAGAAGCTTCTCTGACCAACGCTGAGGGCAGCACTGGAACTATCCAGAAGACAATCTGATGTGCGTGCCACGTACATTTAGCAAATATAACAGCAGTAGCTTCCCCACTAGGGCCCATGACTTCCTACCGCAAAAAATGCATTTCCTCTTGTGGAGCAGGCCTGAAATCCAGGGAGGAAGGTCTTGGTTGCCCCCTTGACAGACTTGCCACTTTGTAATAGCAAGCTAGTCTTCGCCTGACCAGTGGCTAGCTGCTTTTTATTGTCAGGTCCCAGCACTTTCAGCCTCCTCAGCCACTGGTGACAGCATCAGCACGGCTCATTTTACTTTTCATTCTCTCTTTGTCTTTGTCCATTTACAATTATCTGTCTGTACTGGAATGGAAAAATTCCTGAGAGCAAGGCCTTCATCTTCCTTGTTCCTCTCTGGGCTGTGATAGTAATAGTGTGTGCAGGACACACACACACACACGCACACACACACATACACACGATACTCATTACATACATTTTGGTTGAACCAATGACTAAATGAAGTGCTGTAATCAATGATGTAACTGTTGGTGTTATTGCCTCCATGCTATAGGTGCTTTTCTGCTTTGGGCCATGTGGCAAAAGCTCGATTCCTGCATGAGACCAATGAGATTGCAGACCAGGTGTCCAGAGAATATGCAAGTATCATCTTGACTCATTCAGTCTCCCACGCTGACACTTGTGTTGGTTGTAGCTCGGAGATTCCTAGTTTTCTAGCCTCCCTACCCTCTTCTACCCTGCCCAGCCCCTCATCACTAAAGTTGGACCACTTTGAAATTACCCGTAAAACCTCAGGCTGCTCAGTCCATTCGTTAAAGATCGTTAGCTTCTCAAGTCTGTTAGCCTCCATGTCCTCCTGGCCTTCCTGTGTCCGCCTGCTCTGAAAGACCAAATGTCTTTTTTTTTCCCTGGAGGGTGGAGAAGGAACAGACTTCTATCAGGTCCGAGCACGTCTAGCCATGCTGGATAAGAACTACAAACTGGCAGAAATGATCTTCTTGGAACAGGTAACAGGAGAAAGGGGACAGGATGGAGGAGGGGTTCTTGGGAAGGGAGAGGAGTGAAAGACTGCCAGTCAGTGTGTTTTTGGAAAGCTTGGAGAGACCTTTTAAGCTCAGAGTTCATCATCCAATGCCTTTGTCATCCAATGCCTCCTCTGTGTTAGTCTTTATCTAGGCAAATATCCTCTTTTGGTCTTTGATTTCTTCTTCCTTTCAAACTGGTGTCTTAGCTCCTCTCTACTGCAGAACCTGTCTTTGCAATTCTTTTTTTTTTTAATTTTTATTTTTTCATATTAATTAGTTTTTTCACTTTGTATCCCAGCTGTAGCCCATCCCCACCCCCTCCTAATCCCCCCCTCCCTCTTCTTCGCCTTTGCTCCTCCCCCAGTCCAGTGATAGGGGAGGTCCTCCTCCCCTTCTATCTGACCCTGTCGATCAGGTCTCATCAGGACTGGCTTCATTGTCTTCCTCTGTGGACTGGCAAGGCTGCTCACCCCTCAGGGGTAGATGATCAAAGAGCCAGCCCACGAGTTCATGTCAGAGACCGTCCCTGTTCCTATTATTAGGGAACCCTCTTGGACACTGAGCTGCCATGGGCTACCTCTGTGCAATTTTTGTACACAGGGTAGATCCAGGTTTTTTTGTGGAGCCCCAAACCTGTACAGTCTGAGGAGCCTCCTTTAAGACAGATTGCCTTGGGCACCTGTGCATACAAAGAGCCAGAGTCTGAGGCTTCATTTAGTTCATCGTGAATAGTAAACCCACAACTGGAGTAGCAGGCTTAGGGTGTGCAAGGCACTCAGGTCAATTTCTAGAGGGAGTGGGACTGGGAGGGAGAGAGGGAAGGAGAGAAAGAGAGAGACAGAGAGAGAGAGAATAATCATGCCTGGTATCCTGGCCAGGCTGAGCAGCGCTTGCTAGGATTTGACCCTCTTCCTGGCATCCTTTTTCTTCCCTGTGGCACCCCTAGAATGCTGTTGAGGAGGCCATGGACATGTACCAGGAGCTACACCGCTGGGATGAGTGCATTGCTGTGGCTGAGGCAAAGGTATTGTTTCTGTCTTTTGTTCAGAATTCGGCGTTATCAATTTCAGAAGTCTTTCTAAGGAAGCTGTCAGCTTTGGAATGGGGTTGGGGCTTCCTGATACAGTGAGGAATTAACATATTGGTACCATGGGAGGAGCCCTACTGTCACAGAGGACCAGGAGGGACATGGAAACTAGAAGGGTGAGGCGGGATGAAGTTCCTAGCGGCCTGTGTGCATGTCCAGGGACACCCGGCCCTGGAGAAGCTACGCCGAGATTACTATCAGTGGTTAATGGACACGCAGCAGGAGGAACGGGCAGGTGAACTACAGGAGAGCCAAGGGGATGGGCTGGCAGCCATCAGCCTCTACCTGAAAGCTGGGCTCCCTGCCAAAGCTGCGCGCCTGGTTCTGACCAGAGAGGAGCTGCTGGCCAACACAGAGCTGGTAGAACACATCACCACGGCCCTCATCAAGGGGGAGCTCTATGAAAGGGTATGCTGACTGCCTTTTCCTGGCTCTTATCCCCACGACCTGAACCCCTCTCCCTCCCAAAGGAGTCTTGGGGACACAGCGCTCTCCCCGACTGCTAGCATCTTTCTTTGGGGAGCTGATTCTTGATTCTTTGTGTTCTGTGGGTTTCATTCACTGTAGTTAGTTGAATGTGTGTTGACAGGCAGGTGATCTCTTTGAGAAGATTCGAAATCCACAGCGGGCCCTTGAGTGCTACTGTAAAGGCAATGCGTTCATGAAAGGTATCAGCCGCTCACAAGCCATTCTTTACCCTCTTCACTCTTGCCCACTGTACCCCAGCCTCTCCCAGGGGACATCCATTCAGCTAGACTGCCTCAGTTCTGCTTCCCTCTACTTCTCACCCATTCATCCCCACCATGTTGTTCTGAGTCCCAGCCCTGGAATTCTGAGCCAAGTGCCTCTTGTATCCCTGGTAGCGGTTGAGCTGGCTCGGCTGGCCTTTCCAATGGAGGTGGTAAGGCTAGAGGAGGCCTGGGGAGACCACTTGGTACAGCAGAAGCAGCTGGATGCGGCCATCAATCACTATATTGAAGCCAGGTATGGTGGCGCAGGGACAGAATGGGGATTTGGGCATGGAGTAAGATTATGAGCAAAGGAGGGTGCCACAGCCTAAAAGAAATTTCAAAACGTAGGTTAGAATGTGCTCAGAGGGTCTCTTCACTTCTTTCACCCTCTTTTCTCTACGTATTTAATGTCTTCCCTGACTATGCCAGGTGCTCCATTAAAGCGATTGAGGCTGCCCTGGGCGCCCGCCAGTGGAAGAAGGCAATTTATATATTAGATCTCCAGGATCGAAACACTGCGTCTAAATACTACCCTCGTGTGGCCCAGCACTACGCGTCTCTGCAGGAGTATGAGGTGAGGAAAAGTCCCTTTCTGCAGCGCTGCAGCAGCACAGCGCAGGGTGCTGGGGAGGGTCCCTGGAACAGGATGTGGGCTCACCAAGGACAGTTCATCAAGCCCTTCTTGCTGGAGTTCAAACAGTGTCACCGCGAGTGAGGAGGTTCACTTCCCTGCTGTCATCCCAGCATGCCCCAGACACGGTGATCTCTTCCTGTGCCAGCTCAGGTGATTCTTCAGAATAGCTTCAGCAAAACTAGTATAGGCCGTCCTACATGCAGAAATGTGAGGCCCCGTTAAGTTCCACTGGGTTAGATAGATGCCTCAGTGCTTAAGAGGACTTGCTATGCAAGTGTGAGAACCTACGTTCAGATCCCAGCACCCACATGGTCTTGCACACACCTGTAGCCCCACAGCTGTGGGGATGAAGATGAGGATTCCTTGCATGGGGCTCGCTGGGTGCCAGCCAGCCTAGCTAAACCTCACAAGCTTCAGCCTCAGAGAGAGACACTGCCTCAAAGAAATAAGACAGAGGGGATAGAATAACTCTGCTCTCGCTTCTGTGTTTTTATGTGTACCTAACATATGCACACACAAGAACACACATACACACATGCTGTACACACGCATGTACTCAGAGACAGACACACATACATCATACACCACACACATGCACACACGTGACTTTGATCTAGTCTTTTCTCCTAGAGACACACTTTACTTGTACTCATCTTTTCTTCAGTATTACTACAAAGTGGTGCGCCAGTCTCTCCACCATCCCAGCTGACATCTTCAATTTCAGATTGCTGAGGAGCTCTACACCAAAGGAGACCGGACCAAAGACGCTATAGACATGTACACGCAGGCTGGACGCTGGGAGCAAGCCCACAAGGTAGAGAACAGGCAGCGCCCATGAGCCAAGGACTGTGCGTTGGCAGCCATGCTGCCTCTCCTTGGTCTCTGATAGCCCTCCTTCACTGGTTCCCTGAAAGCTAAGAAAGGGTACCAAAATACAGCCTGGCAACTTGGATCCCTAGCAAGAGGGAAAAAATGTGAAGAGGTCCCTGCCCTCGCCTGCGGTTCTGAGGAGAGCTGTTGGTCTCGGGAGCCAGGCTTTCTGAACTACCGCTCTAAAGCCCCTGGCCGCTTGATAGCTCTGCCCTGTCCCCTGCGTTGCAGAGCTCTGTGGAGTGAGTAGGAGTGTGGTAATGCGCATGTGGCACCACCTACACGGGCCTACCAGTCTTCATGCCTTAGCAGGGTGCAGTTCTTCGTGGGCTCCCTGTGACCTGGCATTGCCTGAACTGACTAGTAAAGCGGCAATAACTAAATGCCAGTGATTGCTGGGAGAATCCATAGGCCAGGAGCTGGTGAGTTTCCTTGCACTTGACCTGACCTACCTGGGTTCCGTGTTCACAGTTGGCCATGAAGTGCATGCGCCCGGAAGACGTGTCGGTGCTGTACATCACGCAGGCCCAGGAAATGGAGAAGCAGGGAAAGTACCGAGAGGCTGAAAGGTGAGTGTGGAGGGAGCTGAGGCTTCAGAGCCTGGAGAAGGGATGGGCGTGACGCTGGTGGCCTTGGCCCAGAAGCAGCAGCAGTGGGGATGTAGCTGTAGGAGGTTCCAGGTGCTCCCCTGTCCTCAGGCTGTATGTGACAGTGGAGGAGCCCGATCTTGCCATCACCATGTTCAAAAAGCACAAGTTGTATGACGACATGATCCGCCTGGTAGGGAAGCACCATCCAGATCTACTCAGTGACACACATCTTCACCTGGGCAAGGTGAGCCCTTCTGGCCCTGCCCAGCCCTCCCAGCCAGCATCCATCACCCCTGCCATCCTGACGCACCATCCCGCAGGAGCTGGAGGCTGAAGGCCGACTGCAAGAGGCTGAGTATCACTACCTTGAGGCCCAGGAATGGAAGGCAACTGTGAACATGTACCGGACCAGTGGGCTTTGGGAGGAGGCCTACCGGGTAAGAAGCTCATGCATCACTCTTTCCCATTCTCACCTAACTAATTTTAACCAATGTCACAAAGACCAGAGTATTTTGTGTCAGTAGCACAGCCACATCTGTATAGATAAAAGTTTACTTATAATTTTAAGGGCTTATGGATTTCCTGAAACCCATCCTCTGTCCCTAAACACCATGACCTAAGTCAAGAGACCTGACACTTGGCCCTCTCCAATGCTGGTTTGGAGTGGGGTCCTGACGCTCATCACAGCAGAGGCAGGAGGCCAGAGACAACAAGGGTGATGCTTGAGCAACTTTGCTTTACAGGTGGCCAAAGCCCACGGAGGAGCCAATGCCCACAAACACGTGGCCTATCTGTGGGCGAAGAGCCTGGGAGGAGAGGCTGCAGTTAGGCTGCTTAACAAGCTGGGACTTCTAGAGGCTGCCATTGACCATGCTGCTGACAACTGGTGGGTTCTGCAAGATGCTTCCTGTCCACTGGCCCCATCTCTCCCAGGGCAGCCCACACACAGAGAAGGAGAACTGACATGCAACTGAAAAATAATTCCAAAAGCTGAGGTGACCGTGAAGACATGTGAGCCAGACCTATAAAGACATCTTATGATCTTATGATCCTGGCATCTGGGGGCAGAGGCGGAAAGATCAGAGTTCAAGGCCAGGTTCAACTACATAGTGGGTTTGAGGCCAGCATAGATCACTGTTGAGTTCAAGGCCAGCCTAGACTACATAGTGAGTCGCAGGCCAGCCAGCAAAGGTTAGACAGTGAAACCATGTCTCAAAAAAAAAAAAAAAAAAAGAAGAAAGAAAAATAGTAGAGATCTTTGGAAGGAATGTGCTTTATCAAGAGTTGTTCTAAAGAGAAGGGTGGACCAAAACAGCTTGAAAAGGTAGGACTGTGCTAAGTCAGTAACATTTCTCGGTCATCAAAGCATAGTTCTGTTAATTGAAAAAAGTCTATTTTTCCTTTTATCTATCTTTTCAGACAATTTCATATATACATACAATGCACCATGATCCTATCCCCCATCATCCTGTTTCATCCTCCCACTTCTGCTGGGCCCCTTCTTAGTCACAGCTGGTCTCCACCTACCGCAGTGTCTGCTTCTTTGTGACCCACTGTGTTTAAATTGGATTGCTTGTATGAGCGTGGGAAGGGGTTTACCTTCCCACAGGCGACCTCTCAGTGCAAATGTCACAAAGGCCAGGCAGAGTGCCTCTGGAGGAGGGGTGGAGCTGCAGGAGCACTCCCGCTGGGCTCAGGAAGGCACAGGATTGGCCAGCCACCTCTACCTGTTGTCTTTACCTCTGCCCTTTTTTCCCCCACGATTCTCTTTTCTCTATTTTCTCTTGCCTTCTGTAAGTATTAAGCACAAACTGTGTCTACATCTTCCATTTCAGCTCCTTTGAGTTTTCCTTTGAACTCGCTCGGCTAGCCCTCAAGCACAAAACCCCGGAGATTCATCTCAGATATGCTATGTACTTGGAGGATGAGGTATGGATGTAATTTTGTCCATCCTATACCCCTAACATAGTGGTTCTCAAGCTGAGGTTGTGACCCCTTTAGGGGTTGAATAACCTTTCATAGTCGAATAGCAGATATTTACATTATGATTCATAACAGTAGCAAAATTAGAGTTATAAAGCAGCAACGAAAATAATTTTATGGTTTGGTGATCACCACCACACAAGGAGCAAAGGGTTGAGAACCGCCGCAAACTACTGTGACCAGTTCAAACCCTGTCTGCAGCAACACCAGCCTCCTTCTCATCACATGTGACTTTCTGCCTAGGGCAAATTTGAAGAGGCTGAAGCTGAATTCATCCGAGCTGGGAAACCCAAAGAGGCTGTGCTCATGTGAGTTTCTCCAGACCTTTTTTTTTTTTTTTTTTTTTCTTTCATTTACTATGAGTGTGGAAATGCATGCCACAGCACATGTGTGGAGGTCAGAAGACAGCTTTCAGGAGTTAGTTTTTTCCTTCGACCATGCAGGTTCTAGGATTTGAAATCAGGTCATCAGTTTTTGTGGCAAGCACCTTCACCCACTGAGCCATCTCTCCAGCCCCCACTGCAGCTTCTTTAAAGACTGTCACAGGGCCTTTCATGGTCATCTTTACTTTCAAACCTAGTACAAATAAACCAAATAAAACCCCTCAGTTATACAACTGTCTCCCATTATTGAGGCTTCAGTCCTGTGCTCCACATCTCCTGTGTCCCCTGTCTTGGGCAGGTTTGTCCACAACCAGGATTGGGAGGCAGCTCAGCGTGTGGCGGAGGCCCACGATCCTGACAGTGTTGCTGAAGTACTTGTAGGGCAGGCCCGTGGGGCCTTGGAGGAAAAGGACTTTCAGAAGGCAGAAGGGCTGCTGCTTCGGGCCCAGAGACCAGGTCTGGCTCTCAATTACTATAAGGTGAGTCACTGTATTTGAGTCCCAAAGGGAGGATGAGATGTTATGAGAGGCCACAGAAATCCACACCGATTCCTGGTGCTGAAAACGGCAGGAGAAGGGAAAGGATAGGCAAGAAAAGGAACAGAGAAGGTCAAGGAGTCAGGAGTCATGCCAGGGAAGCCTGTGTAGTAGTAGGGTTCTCCGAGCCCTTACCTTGACCTTCTGCTACCTGAAACCCTGAGCAGGAGGCCGGACTCTGGAGCGATGCTCTGAGGATCTGCAAGGACTATGTACCTGGCCAGCTGGAGGCCCTACAGGAAGAGTATGAGCGAGAAGCTACTAAGAAGGGGGCCAGGTAAGAAGCCTAATGTCCTGGCAGTGTTGTCAGGACTTGGTGGGATAGGCCACAAGGTATGCGAGCAGTGACCACACCACCCCTCCGCCATCCTGATCATTAAATACTCTCATCCCCACAGAGGTGTGGAGGGACTTGTAGAGCAAGCACGACAGTGGGAACAGGCTGGAGAATACAGCCGTGCGGTGGACTGCTACCTCAAAGTCCGAGACTCAGGAAGCAGTGGCCTGATGGAGAAGTGCTGGATGAAGGTGAGACTTGAAGGATCTCCTGGCCCTGATTCCCTTAGGCCCATTCCCACTTAAAAATATTCTTCTTGGTCCTCCTGTGACTTTATTGCAAGTGACAGAGACCTACCAAGTGCCTGCTGTGTATGCTAGAGCCAAAACATCTAAAGACTAGAAGAGATGTAAGACACAGACAACCAGAAGTTAGGGGACCTAATTACCAAATCCAAGTAAGACTGAGGTGTATGGAGTGAAATTTGGAGACACATGAGCTCCCTGTGGGCTGGAGTAGTCCATAAGGTTCTTTGAGGAAGGAAGAAGGACTTGAACAGGAGCCAGAAGATCAATGCCAGATGCAGGGTCACAGGCGAAGGCCGTGACTGAAGCATGGGCCCCTCCTTCAGCACCTCCACCCAACAGCTCCTGCAAAGCAGACTGCGCCAGCCCACTACTCTTCACCAAGCCCAAGACAAACTATCAGTCAGAGAAACAAAACCGATAGTGTGTATACATGCCTGAGATAAACAAACTGGCTAACACAGTTACCTAGGTGGGCAAGGCCCAAGATCTGCATGGAGACTGGCCAGCAGGAAGCCCAGGAGAGAAAGTATAGGAGACCCAAAAAGAGCCAGCATTTCAGCTCCAGAGTGAGGGAAGAAAGAGCCAGTGTCCCAGTTCAGACAACTTTTGGGCAGGGAGACGCTTCCTTTACTCAGGGTAAAGTAAGCCCTTGGCTCATTCAAGCTCTCAGCTGAATGGATGAAGCCCATCTGCATTAGGAAGGTCGATGTGCTTTACAGTTTAGGTGCTAACCTCACCCAGGCACATCCTCACAGAAATGCCCAAAGTAATGTTTGAGCAGTGCCTAGATTCCGTCATCACACACAAGTGGCAATGGGCCAACTCATTTAGTATCTTTGCAATTGGACATGCATGTATGGTTTAAATGATGCACTTCGGGTACAGGGCAATATGGTATTGGGAGTCCTGAGGGGTCACTAGCTTTCTAAATTAAATATTGTTGTGTTAATTCCCATACAAGGCGCCCTTAAGTTTTGGGGGTCATTGAATAGGTCCTGGGAGGGAGAACAAAGGAAGTAAAGGGGCTGATGTTTGGTGGTGAGATTTGAGCAGACTTTAGGCAGCATGCACTGAGCATCCGGCATCTTTTACAATGTTTACTAAAGTAAGGGCTCTGCTTTCAGACTGGTCACACGGTGGCTTTCTGGATGGGGAGAAGGCATGCTCTAAGCCTTGCAGGTTTGGAAGGTCAAGAAAGGAAAGGAAAAGAGCAAGGGAATTAGTCTAGGCTGTAGTTAAATTGGGTCACATGGAAATTAAAATCATTAAAGATGTAGACACCCCAGGAGAAACAGTTAAACAAAGATGTCAGAATCATCCAGACCAGCACTGTCTGCTGGAAACACTGTGTAAGCTACAAATGTGTTATTCCAGCTTTTTAATACCTGGTTTTGATTAACTTTTAAAAATGATGAAAAAAAATTAAAAATACAAAAAAAAACAAGCGCGTTAAAAATAATTGTAAAATACTTAATTGAACATTTATATATTTGTTTGTTTTAGTTTTTCAAGGTAAGGTTTCTCTTGGCTGTCCTGGACTCACTTTGTAGAGCAGGCTGGCCTTGAACTTACAGCGATCCACCTGCCTCTACCTCCCTGAGCGCTGGCATCACAGGTGTGCACTACTTTGCCTGGCAACTGAACATTTGAATATTGACATTTCAGTCAATATTCAGTCAGCTCAGTGGTTATGAGCACTG